GTGGCGCTCTGCACGAGGGAGCAATGCTCACACCAGTGCTGAATCAGCTACAGACGCAGCTGCCCGTCAACTGCTATACGACCAGCACAAACTGGCGGTCAAGCAGTCTCGCAAAGACCAAACCAAGCGGTTCCTCGCCGAGGTGGACCAGGCTCTCAATCAGGGAGACCAACACCTAGCATACCAAACTCTCAAGCATCTTCGACCGTGGAAACCAGCTCTGAAGGCTCAGCTCAAGGATTCGAACGGTTTCTTGCTCAGCCCAGCAAATGAACTTGCAGAGTTGGGCAAGTACGCCACCCAGGTCTTTGCAGCGCACCCACCGCTTCCTTCTGACGCGGGACTTCTGCCCCTACTGCCGCAGACCAAGTTGGCGAAACATATTGCTTCGATAAAACCTGGAAAGGCAGTTCCGAAAGGAGCAGCACCGGCCGCAGCCTGGAAGCTCTGCGCACAGCCGGTATCCGAGGCGCTCTCACATTACTGTTCTGCTCTGACACAGGACCAGCCACTAGACGATGATCTGACACGAGCGGATCTCTGCTTATACCCAAACCGGGCAAGCCGGCTGACAAGCCTTCCCAGCTAAGGCCGCTGGGAATACTCCGGCCGGATGCTAAAGGCCTGGCGGGAACGGCTAAGGAGCTCCTGGAACCTCTCACGCTGCCGTACATGAAGCCTCTCCCTCAGTTTGCATACCTACCGGGGCGGGGTCTCTCTGACGCTCAGAGTAGAGTGGTACAGCACCTGAGAGAGGCTCGGCAACTGTGTCGCAATGCGAACCTCACCAGAGCGGATCAGCAGCGGGGACAATGTCCTGTTGGTCTAGTCGGCGGCATCACCTTTGCACTAGACCTGTCACAGGCATTCGACACTGTATCCCGCAGCGAAATCTTGTCTCTGCTTGATGAACTAGGCGCAGATCCCTCCCTACAAAAACTGATACACGGCCTGCATCATCGATCCAAGTACAGGCTCCATTCACAAGGGGCCCACCAGGATGTGGAAACCACGACAGGCATCAAACAAGGCTGCAAGCTGGCCCCTACGTTGTTTTCCGTTCTAACAGGCCGTCTTCTGCACAGGCTGATAAGCACATTTGGCTGGGACAATGTCCGCAGATACTTCACTGGGTACGCCGATGACTTTACCATGCATCGCACAATCCGTAACAAAGCGGACGTGGACGCAGCTCACAAAATGATCCTACAGCTTTTGTCGGAGGTAGAGAAACTAGGCCTGCGCGTCAATCCAACCAAATGTGCCATTCTAGTCAAACTCAGTGGCAGAGAGGCCGAGGCCACGCTCCAGAAGCACACCTGTTGGCTTCCCGACCAAGACGGCAAACTCCAGCGTCACTGGCGACTGGGCAAACACAAGTCCTTCCCCGCCTACGAACTTGAAACACAAATCAAGTACCTGGGCATTCAAATCTCCTATGGGAATTTCGAAATGCAAACGCTGCGCTTCCGTATAGCGGAAGCTGCCAAAAAGCTCCAGCAGGTCAAGCGATTTGTTTACAACCGCAGAACTGCAGGGCCAATGGCCAGGTTGAAGGTTTGGTTCACCACCGTATGGGCCACTCTGGTCACAGGACTTCCTGAAGTCGGCCTCACGGAGGAAACAGCCAGGCATCTCCGAGGTTGGTATGCTCACAAGCTACGCTCCGTGCTTAACCAGCCTGTCCACGTCAGCCGCATCTCCACAGCTGACCTATATCAGCTGCATTCGATTCAGGACCCGGTGGCAAAAATCCGAGCTCGGATGGCTTCGCGACTAAAAAGACTGAGCAAACGACCCGACATCCCTACCCCCGAGGCTGACATTTCCGTCCAGCGGATGACTACTTCCAGTGCACCTACGGTGCAGCTGGGCCCGTGGGCCAGACTGCGTCCTGACGCGCCGACCTCGGTCACAGGCTCGAACCCTACCGACATGGCAGTGTACGGTGATGTCACGTGTCTGGGACATGTCCTACAGGACTTACAGGACATACTACGAGAGGTGGACAATCTTCCGGCGAGCACCGAGGCCTCGCAGCAGCGGTTGCACGACTGTCCTCACTGTGCGTCTGGCTTTGTCTCTGCGCATGGTCTACATATGCACATCACAAGGATGCATCGTGATCAAGTAAAGAGGTACATTCCTCCCTCCTTTGATCGTAGTCGGCACTCCAGGGACGGTCTACCAGTATGTTCCGCATGCGACAAGGCCTTCCATCAATGGAAGGGCCTACGCGACCATTTGTTGTCGGGAGCCTGTACGCAGCCGGAACGCCTGCGCCAGCTATCTCTCACCACTGAGGAACAGCTGCAAGGCCAAGCTCTCAGAGGCTTAGCAGCCCTTCGGGCTACGGTGCAGAGCTCGCCAAAAGACAAGCTCAGCAGCATAGCCTCCCGACCGGAAGCTCAAGAACTCAAGCACAGGTGCATCTTGTGCGGATTCTGGACCCCCGACCATACCAAGATGAAAAATCATCAACGACAGGCTCATGCACAGG